CTCTTCTCTTCTCTTCTCTTCTCTTCTCTTCTCTTCTCTTCTCTTCTCTTCTCTTCTCTTCTCTTCTCTTCTCTTCTCTTCTCTTCTCTTCTCTTCTCTTCTCTTCTCTTCTCTTCTCTTCTCTTCTCTTCTCTTCTCTTCTCTTCTCTTCTCTTCTCTTCTCTTCTCTTCTCTTCTCTTCTCTTCTCTTCTCTTCTCTTCTCTTCTCTTCTCTTCTCTTCTCTCTCTCCCTCTCTCTCTATCTCTCTCTCTCATTCCTGCAAAGAAAAGAAGTACATTGTGCCTGTCCTACACCTAAGGTAGGGAGAGCAAAAATATTTGTTTATAAGTAGACAATAGGAAATTAACATGTAGTCTAAATCTATGATAAAGATCATGTATTTACAACTTTAAAGGAGATGCCCATGGACTGGAGAAGTCAGGAAAGGCTTCACAGCACTTGTAGGACAGAGAAGAAGCCCTGGACTAAGTGTAGGATATGAGAGAAAAAGAGAAAAGAGATCTAGGCAGAGAGCACACGTGTGAAACAGTAAAATGGATTACAAGTGTGAAGGGATTAAAATAGCTGTGATACGTTCTAGAGATAGTTAATAAATGAGTCATGTCAAAGTTGAAGACTAATTTTGGTGAGTAGTGGAAGATGCATCCTCAAAGCTGAGTGGCAGAAGACATTTGTGCCCTGCTAAAGAAAATAAACCTAATTTCATACACAACAGAGAACTACTGAGGCTATAGCAAATAGTTTGCATATGTATAGTAAAGTCTTGCCTGTGAAATGCTTCTGTATGTTAAATCTGGTGGGTTCGGCTTTTTGCCCCAGCTGATTCTTCATAATTATTAAGAAACATCTTTTAAAATATCTCGTAGGGAACCAGCAGTTAGCGTAATGGCTATGTCGCTGGATTCCCACATAGTCGACCGCGGTTCGCGTACCGGACCCGGTGGCTTAAAACTCACGCCGGGCGCGTGTGCGTGCGTGCCCAAGATCCCAAGAGGAGAATGGAGGAGAAGGGATTGCGGCGTGACCATCCCCCCTGGGGGGTGATTTCTTGCTTTCTGTCTCTATGTCTTTCTCTGTCTGTCTGGCGAGCGCACGCGCCCTATAGCGAAAATCTCTCAAAAAAAAAAAAATCTTATAAATGGAGGCAATGTTAAACAAAGAATAAAGAGAAACTAAAAAGTTTTAGAGTCTCAACAAAGTTGCCAAAAGTCTTTATATGCAACCTGATATTTCAACTTATCGTTTAAAAATAATATAATAATTGTACATATTTGTGGATATACAATGTGATTTTTTTTTAGAGAGAGAGAGAGATTTTTGCTATAGGGCATGTGCACTTGCTGGAGAGACAGAAAGCAAGAAATTACCCCCCCAGGGAGGTTGGCCATGCCACAATCCCTTCTCCTCCATTCTCCTCTCAGTTTTAAGCTGCCAGGTCCAGGACTCGAACCATGGTTGACTACATGGGAGTCCAGTGATGTAACCATTATGCCATTTCTGGTCCCTACAATGTGATTTTTTTTTTTTTGGTACAAGAATAGCAGGATAGTTAGTGCATCCATCATCTCAACTATTGTCATTATTTTGTGTTGCGAAAATTCAAATCCTCTTCTTTAGTTACTCTAAGAGGTACATTACATTGCTGTTGATTATGCTCTCTGTTCTGTTTTAAAATAACATTAGACATTGTTCCTGTTCCCTGTCTTCTGTTTTGTTCATCTATATCTCCCTCCTCTCCTCCACTTACATCCTTTCCAATCTTCAGTAGTGATTCATTTCTCTACTTCTATGAAGTCATTTCTTTCACTTTCCACATATGAGAAAGGAGGGTTTCTCTTTCTATTCTTGGCTCATTTTACTTCACATAATGTCCTCCAGGCTTACCCATTCAACCTCATATGACAGGAGTTCATCCTTTACGACTGTCATTCCACATGTGTGTCGGTGTGTGCGCGTGCGTGTGTGTGTGTGTGTATACACGACATTTTGTCATTCATCTGTTGATGGCCACATAAATTATTCCATTTCTTGGCTATTGTGAATAGTGCTGCAGTGAACACTAAGGAATGGCTATCTTTATAATGAACATTTTCACTTCCTTCAGATATATACCTAATGATGGCTTTGCTGGATCATACAGCAGTTCTAATTTTAGTTTTTGGAGGAATATCCATACTGTTTTCCACAATGACTCTGCTAGTTTACACTCCCATCAATAATATAAAACAGTATCCCTTTCCCTAGCATCCTTATCAGCATTCATTATTTTTTTACAATGAAGTCTTACCTCTTAATATCGATTTTGAACTAGGTTTTATTGCTAATATTTTTACATTTGCTGGGGAGTCGGGAGGGCCTCTCCAAATGTTTAGACTTGGGACCAATATCAGATTCTTCTCATTTTCCCCAAACCGTAACTAGAAGGTCAAGAGTAAAACGAAAAGACTAATAGCCTACCATTTACTATTCCTCCTATCATCTTCAGGATCTTGAATCCATTGAGTTGTTCTAGTTCTCTGATTCCAAAAAACCTGGGGGGCCATTTCTTCAAGAGAAAACACATTTGACTGCTGAGTTGAAAACTAAAAACGCCGCTTGTTCTGTGACTAGAGGGAGAGTCCCCAAGAGAAACATTGTCTGTGCTGACCTGGTATCTCCCACAGGTGGCTCCAGTGATCAAAGCCAGAATGATGGAGTATGGGACCACCATGGTCAGCTACCAGCCCCTGGGAGACAAGGTCAATTTCTTCCGCATGGTCATCTCAAACCCCGCAGCAACTCACCAAGATATTGACTTCCTGATTGAAGAAATAGAACGCCTTGGGCAAGATTTATAATTACCTAGCTCACCAAGCTATTTCAAGTCTCTAGGTAGACAATTAAGTTGTCACAAATTGTGTGAATGTATTTGTAGTTTGTTCAAAAGTAAATCTATTTCTATATTGTGGTGTCAAAGTAGAGTACAGTTTAAAATTAAAAAAAAATAACATTGCTCCTTTTAAAGATCCTTTCTTAAGTTTAGAATACCTCTCTAATAATTAGTGACAAAAGGCTGTGTTCTAATCAATAAGGAAAAGCTTAACTTGTTATAAATACTTCCCTTACCTTTAATATAGTATGCAAATCAAACTTTATTTTCATTTCAGAGTAGTAGCATTGAATAGTGCCAAATTGCCCCTGAATCATAAAAGGTTCTTTGGGGTACAGGGAAAAGGATAAAGTAAATATAAAATGTATGTTGACAATATAAACTTTTGCCTTTTTCGTAGTATTAGAAAAAAAATTTCTAATTTACCTATAGCAACATTTCAAATGTATTTAAATACATATAATTTTACAAAAGGAAAATATATATATATAAAAGGGAAATCCTATTTTGTAACATATAGATTTTTATTTTATATGGGTTATATGAACTGCAGGGGCAGATATAAAAACTAAGTCAGATTTATTTTTCTCTTTCTTTTTAATGAAGGTACAACAAAATGCTTAGCAAGATTATTTTGAAATGTAGGCCCACAAAATTGTTAAAAGGTAGGATTCCTTCTTTCAACACATGTTATGGTTTATCACATCTCTACCGTTAGTATTTCAAAATGAACACAACAGAATACTGCACGTCCTTTCAAACAATCGATCAGATCTGCAATAAAATTTTCTTCCCACTTAAGTTTTCTCCCAGTTTATCCTTAGCAGACCTAACTCTGTAAGGACAAGCGAGCTTCCTCTTAGATTAAATTACGGCAATTGTATCTATTCTGCTTTCCCATTCACCTGTTTAGAACAGAAGGTTCATGCTGGTTCTTGAGGCCTCTTTCCATACAATATTCTTTTATTAGGTCATTTGGACTAATTAAGAAAATTAAAATAAAACCTAATCAGCCTGAGCAGAGGGATGAAGCACGCTCCTGGAATATGGTGAGCCCAGAAAATTAAACTAGGCCATGGGAAAGAACTCTGTGGGCCAATGACGGCATCATCCTGGATGCCATATTGCCACTATCCAGGAAGGAATCATCTATTCCTGGGTGATTGCTTATTCCAGTTTTCTCCCCATTCCTACCCACAACCATCTCTCCTGCTAGACTCTCTACTTCTGGGATCCCAAGTAATGAAATTACATTCCATGGGTGGTTATTTCTCTTTCATGCAATGAGTCCTTCACCCTAGATTTTGAGACAGCATCGTAAGACCTTCTTTTATCTGTCTCCTATCAACATCCAAAGTGACCAGAATATGCAGAGAATAACATTCTTAGAATTTAAAGTAATACTTTTTAAAAGCCCTTCTTCCCCTGCAAACCTAGTAGAGAAATATGAGGTAATCAAAGCTCTCATAGATATTTATGGGGCCACAGATGGTCAGATTTCAGGTGTCGGTAGAACTATGGACTTGTACGTGCAGACGGCAGATACGAATGTGGAAAATCTGTCCATTCTGTATGGACCTGGCATTTCACTAGTCAGACAGACTTCAGGAATACAAGGGAAGAAGGAGGACCCTGTGCTTGAGCAGATAGAAATGCCCTGTAATAAACACACAGGATCCAACCACCCGAAATCTTCCTCAGTTTATACCCCTACAGTACTTCTCCCAAGTCATAAACAAAAGCACTTGGAATGAACATGGCTTTGAGCCCTTTCTCTCTAGAAAGCAAATGGACTCTCTATGACAATGAAAAGAAAATGCTTTCCTGTGCCACAAAATTTCACAAAGGAATACCTCCCATTTAGGCTTTGTCTAATGGCCAAGCATCTCTTCCTTCTCTAGAAACTGGCTGCTGAGACTAAACTGACAACTGCCTATCCATCTTGAGCCTCAGGCCCCAAGGTTCCTCTTCAGAGGCTCAGAAACTAATTAACCAAACCCGCTGTCCTGCTTAGAAAAGACAGTGAGGCCCTGTGCCCTTCTCACTTCCTGAGTGCTTCTCCCCAGAAGCTGCTCCTCTTTGGCTTGATGAGCCGATAGAATTTACAAGGAGAATTTGTGCCTGAGTCTGAAATCCCAGCAAAGTCATTTTTACCAGTAAGTTTTCTCGCCCACTCCTTTCCTCTTTCAGATCCTCCCTCAAATTTGCTGGGAACCCTGCTCAGGCCTTCACAGGGAAACCCCAGACAACCACAGCCCAGGGAAGGAGCAAAATAAGAGCCTCGGAGGTACCAGTAGTTTAATAAATACTCTTTAAAGCAGGTCTGTAGTCAGCTTAGGAGCGGGATGGAAGGACAAGGAAGGAGAGAAACAGGGAGGGAGAGTGTTTCAAACCTTAGCCCTGATGATTCCTAGTGCCAAAAGTCTTTATGTGGGATCGTTCTTTACAAATTTTAGAAAAGTTTGGTTTTTAGCTTTAACCAGAATTGACATGGCCATTTTCATTTATTCAGCAATATTGTGTTTATTATTTCAAATACTTGAAAAAAAAAAGTGTGATAATGTCTTTATTTGAGACCTGTACACAGTATGGACGTCACGTACTGTCACGGGATGTGAGGAAAGAAAAGGCTCTCAATCGTGTGTGTGTGACTGTGTTGCCTTTATTACACTGATAGTACTGTCTTGTCACCTCAGATTGGGGTCGTGCACTTTAGATCTGAACTGTACAGTGTTGCGATCAACATGCGCTGCTGTCAAAGCTTGTACAATCTATTATCGGTATGTCTTTTTCTGTGTGGTAGCCGTATTGAACTTTGATGTTACGAAAACTACATTTGCACCTTTTCCTGGTCTCTCTCTGTGCTGCACTCCTTCCACACCGCTGTAGTAGCTACCATGCCCTCGGTTCCGCTTCCCACTGAGAAATCTCCCTTGGGAATTTTGTGATCTTTACAAAACACAAGTTGAACACTACGTCGTCTCCGAATAGAAGAAACTAATTATGGAGCGTCACAAATTGCCAGGATTGTAGGTGATGACTCTGCTGGCACTGCTGCTTCTCAGAAGATGGGAAAGAAAATGCAGGTGTAAATATGGGAGCAGGACAAGGAGTCCAGGACCTCAAACGGGGGGTCATGTTGCACGTGCTCTTCTGTTCCCAAATGCTAGACGCAAACACTGTGTATCCCCTAGTTGTTTGTGCCAAAACACCAATCCCAACGGGTGTTTCTGGATGACATCACCATTTCTCCACTATTACTCCAGAAAAATAAAAAATAAAAAATAAAAAAAAACAAAATGTACAAACACGTGGCAACCTGTTCTTACCAAATATAAACTTGTGTATGATCAAAGTACTTTATCTGTGTTGTCTCTCTGAACCCAAATAAATGTGTAAATGTGGACGCATATGGGGCTACGGGTGCTTATTTCTGACTTTGTCATGGGGTGGAGATCATTGCTAGGAGCTGCCCAGATAAAAGATCCTTCATTTGTCACAGAGCTCAGAGTGTCTTTGGGACTTTTTTGGGAGAAGATGTCCTTCTGCAGCCATGCCTACTAGAGCTATTGAAAGATATTATTCATCACTCTGGTTTCTCCTTCAATTATTTTTCGAAAAATTCTTTTATTTTATTGATTATTTTTTAATATGTTACAATGGCAAATTTCACTTACGTAAGAAAGCCAAGAAAACAGTCTAATAGACCTCTAAGCCTTTATTCAGCTCCAATATCCATTCCTTCACCCTAGTAGATTTTTTTCCTTCACCCTAATTCTTCCCCAACATCAAATTATTTTTATATGCATCCAAAAAGATTTTTTAAATAGTTCCAAATAAGTCAATACCATCATCACAGCTGAAAGTATAATAATCACATGGCCATAAGAAAGTCAAATTCTAGTAGTTTTCTCATTGTCTTGTTTCTCAGTTTCATAGAGAAACCCATGGGCTGCGACCCAGGAAGCCCAGCGAGGCCACGGTTTCAGGACAGCTGGGACGCCTGCAGCTCAGGTGCCCAACACAGTCCATGTGCACTTGGGCTGTGCCGATGCTGTGGTGCATTTCCCACTGTGTTGAGTGTATTTCAGGGCTTCTGTGGCTTGGAAGTCTTAATGTTCAGGGGCTTTTCTCCCAGCCCCTTAGGAGCAGGGGCTAAGCAGTGTGGGCAGGTTGCAAGCTAGAAAGTCATCAGGATTTAGCAGGTGGAGTGTCCCTGATGTGCCTTGTCAGATCCAAGAAAACTTGAGGTGCCCTTAAATGTGTTATTCTGGAGTAAAGAGGGATTCATTTAGGGCCAGCAAGTGGTATAGACATTGGAGCAACTGGATTACACATGAGGAACTGTGTGTTTCGAGTCCTGGACCCAGCAGCTTGAATAACACGCTGGGTACATGTGAGCATGTGCCCAAAATCCCGAAAAGAGAATGGAGGAGAAAGAGAAGGGATTCTCTCTCTCTCTCTCTCTCTTTCTCTCTCTGGCAAACTCACAGGCCCTATAGCAAATAAACCAAAATAATTAAATAAATAAGAGATGCTAATTCAGACAGATGCTGGGATGTGAGAAGGCATAAAGGGGAAGGATTCTAGCTACTTTCAATATTGCTTATAGAGAAACCCATAACAGCAGCCTAATAAAGAGGAGACACTGCACACTCCTGCCCTTGCTCACATTATTACCTCTGCCGAGGCATGGTTTCCTACTCTTCTTCAATTTGGGGGAGCAGTATTTCATGAGTGTTGAGAGTGAAGGCTCCAGAGCTGGATTACCTGGTGTTCCAGTCCCACACCAACCAGCTGTAAGACCTAGAGCACATCCCCTAACCTCCCTGACTCGGTTTCAGTCATTCGAGAGTAACTTTCATAAGACTGTTGTGTGGATTAAATAGAATGCATGTATAGCACTTAGACGGTGCTTGGCACCCAGTAAGTGCTCAACAAATTCTTTATAGTAATGAAGTCGATTATAATTCTATAAGTCAGTTCATGTCGCCTCATTAAACACTCACCCTCCTCCTACTGCTACTTACTTCTGGTCAGTAGCATTCACTGGACACCTACCTAGCAAGAACTGGTGGAAACATCATTGTTCACGTGGTCTTCAGTAGGCATTGATTGTTTAGCAGGCATGTTACCAATTCATGCCTGTAAAATGCGAATGTTCAGGAAAAAGGAAAGGCCTGGGGCAGGGTAGCCAAGGAAGACAGTAGGCTCCAGAGAAGAGCTCTGTGTCACCACCCAGCAACCCTGCCACTCTCCCTTCTCCCTGAGCTGCTGTTACGGCAGTGATCTCTGAGCAAAATGTAAAATAAAAAGTGCTTTGAAAGGATAAAGTAGAGGCCAGCAGGTGGCACAGTGGTTAAGGTGCTGGATTCCCACATGGCTGACCACAGTTCAAGTCCTGGACCTGGTGACTCACCTTCTCACTTT